TGCTATTGAACGCAAAAAAGACTGCATCAGACGCGCCAGAGGTAATTTTAACTACACATATGAGTTTTAATGATTGCTCGTGACATATTTTTAACATTTTTTCCTCTATTTTTCTTTCTTCTACTCAGAGATTTTCGATAGAGCGAACACATACTACAAAGACTCCATGCCGGAGTTGAAGGAAGAACGAGCTACGCTCTTGGATGATTGGCTGAACATGGAGAAGAGCTTTGGTAAGCTCGGGGATGTTAGTGTCGTTGAATCGAAGCTCCCGAAGAAGCTCAAGAAGAGAAAGCCAATCACTAGAGAAGACGGTTCAACAGAGTACGCTTTTGCATACAATCTCTCAATTTGTTTATATTTCGAATATGATAATTGAATTCTAAAGCTTAATGTGAACATTTTTTTTTTGAATGGTAGGAATGAAGAATACTTTGATTATCTATATCCAGAAGAATCGCAGACGACGAATCTCAAGATTCTTGAAGCTGCTTATAAATGGAAGAAGCAGAAAGTTGCTACTTCTGAGGATTACGATTAAAGTCTTTCTCTGACTTATATCAAAACTGTGAGTTGTTTTGTATTCTTACTTATAGTTTCTCTGTACATCGTCACTGATCTGTTTGATTTAGCATAATCTTTTTGTTATCCAATCAAAACTTAATCTGTTTGTTTTTTGTGTTTGGTTTTGGCTCGAGTTTTCCGGTTTAGAAATTTTAGGAACAAATTCAGAATCTCCATTCCGGTTTTTGTTTCTGATATACATATATCGGTTCGTGAAATTCTGAAGCCGAATCTTGTTTGTTAGCGAGCCGGTTTATGAGGTTATCATAGAAATTTTCATTTTGCTCTTGTAATTATGTCTCTAGTAATCGAAATTTAGGCCGTTTCATATGTTGCAAGTATGATTCAAATGTAATTAAACATGTTTATTTATGTTAATCCTCAAAATTACACTAAATCAGTGTTCAAAAATACGGCCGTATTGGCTGTATATACGCTATACAGTAAGGAGATGTACCGTTTTTGTAGTATACGTTAGTAAAATACGGTTTGAATAATACGGCCGCATAATCGGCGAGTATACGTACGTGTATACGGCTGCCGTATAAACATTTACGGTTCTCTCTTCTATGATCATCTCTCTTCTATGATCGTGTCTCTCTAGTTTCTGCTACTTCAGAAAGCACAAGATCAGTTGGTGTCTTCGTCCCTTCACGTCACCGTTTCGTTGTCAATTTTTTCTTGGTTTGCAACAATATTTTTTCTAAATTCTTTGATACTCGGGTTGCTCTGTTTTTTCCAGTTTTGAATAATTTCACAATATGATATTCTTGTTTCTTGCTATAAAAGTAATAAAGTATAAGGTAATTGTGAAGTCGAAGCATATTGAACGATTTAGATCAATTACTGTTTTGATTTTGGATTAAAATTTTCACAGCAAT